ACATAGTAATAGTTTAACAACATGGTGACTAATGACTATTAATAAAGATGTTATATTAAACAGTTCTTTGGTATAGTGGTATAATGTATGTTCTTTGGTATAATGTATTTTAGAATGCATTACCAGAATTCATACTAATGGCCAAAATATCAGCCTAGGTAGGGTGAAAGGAAAGGAAAGGATATGAATATCATGTGGTGCTCTTCTCACTTTACAGAAAAGCAGACCTAAAACAATAGGCTGTTAAAGATTTGATTGATTGCTAAGTAGAAGTCATTTCACCACTTTAAGGTAATGATTTATGAAGGACTATTTATGGAAGTAAATGAATTTTTAGTTAAAAAAACTGTTGATAAAAATAATTCTGGCAGTATAAAGGGAGCCAAACCACTCTGGGTTTTTCTGTGTTTAGCGAAGGATGAATTAGATATATCTTTTAAGAAGTTCTGCAAAAGAACTTCAGTATTTTATAGGCAAAATACCAGTGTCAAGTGATTGGTAAGAAATGTTTATCTTCATTTATCTCAGTTGCCTAAATTATTATTTACTGTTATATTTGTTAATATAAATATGTTATTTATTTTAATTTCCAGATTATATCTAGAAGGATTTCAAATCCGTATGTGGAAAATCCTCCTAACAAGGTATTATTTTTGTTACTTCTGTATTTGTATTATTATAGAAACTCTAGTTTCATTCCTTCATTCTTTTGAGCTATTTTATACTTAGGTGTGGGCAGTATTATCACCTCTTTATTTTTGAGCCCATGATTACTATGTGGAATGAAGTTTTAATAAATAGATTTTAATATTATTGATAACTAATATATTCAAAAGTAAGTTTAGTGAAATAGTGCTTGTACTAGTTTTCGGGGTTCTGCAACTTTTATATAGTGCTGTAACTGTGTAAATTGCAAAATTTATTGTCTGTCCAATTTATCTTCCTTTAGATTTATGGAGAGGATGCCTCATGTGCTGGAAGAGCTCTCAGAAATGTTTTTCTGTTACAAGCTTCTGATCTGATAAAAGATAGAATGTCTCTGATGGGGCTTTGCAGGTAACAGTGCTTTTCTTATTTTAACTTAACATCATTTCTGCTTGCTCCTTCATTCACATGAATTGGAGCTGAATTATTCACCATGTATATCTGGTTTGGCTGATTTCTTTCTAAGCTGTTACTCCTTAATCCAAAGCATTCCTGCGGTGCTGTGTAGATGCAGTGATTGTCATTGTTGTACCAGCAGCCCTCATGGAAATAATTTTGTGATCCAAGGCACAGAGTAAACTGTTTTTATTACTAATTTTATTCACATTTTGTTGTATCACCTTTGTGTGCTGTTCAGCTTCTGGAGATTCTTAGTTAAGTTTTGTGGTTGGGTTAACTTTCTGATCTAGTTTGTCACCTGTTTCACACATCCTGCCAGTTATAAAGTAGTTCACTTAAACCCTGGTGTTGTGATTTGTAACCATGGTATGTGGCTTAATTTGTGCTAGTTGATTTGTGGTTTATTAAATAAACCATGGTTAAACAAACCTTGGATTGGTACAGTGCACAAATATAATCAATATATTATTTCCAAGTTATAAGCTATTAGCTGATCAGTAATTTATGACAGGATGACAGAGCTGAATTGTCTGTTGTAAAACAGGAAAAATGGTCTTTATTGATTGCTTTGATTTTTTTCCAAGCATTGGGATCTTCTCCAAAAAATTTTGCTTTCACTTTATGAGTGCACATTATGTGTATTTAAACTTTAGCTTCATTATTTGTGTTCCAGTAAGCAATCTGGTTTTACATCTTCTATTTCTTACAGCCCAAGATATCCTCAGCAAGTTTTTCCAGCATAATTCAAAGTCAAAGCCATACTTTTTATTTTTTTTAATTCAGCCTTTCTGGTGATCCTACTTTCACAGCCTTTGTTGTCAGTGTGGTGTCCTTGCACTTTTAAGATTCTCTCCAGTTTTCTTTATCTCTTTTCTGTCATCTAGTGGTCATTCAGATTTATGCAGCTTGTAATCAGTAAGAAGCCTGATGTGAAACTCCAATTTAAATTGAGAGAAATTTAGCAGGACAGAGAAAAATTGGAGGCATTACTCTGAAGAAATCAAATTGTTAGTAGAATCAAAATAGAAAGGTCAACAGAAGACACTAGTCTAGTCTTATTACAATTTGAGATAATGGGACAGCTATGCAAAAGAAGAGAAAATGGTTAAAAAGCAAAGTTGAATTGGAAAGCTTTATTTTATGTTGGAATATTAGGATTTGGTTTAAGTAGAGCCTGCAAATACCACTAGATACAAATTTAATAATAAATAAAAATAAATAAATAGATGGGAGCAAAGGATTAGATGTTTCTGTATCTCGTTGTCACAACTTTGTTTTCATAGAAATTTTAAAGCCCAGATGCAGCAGCCCTAGTAGTTTAAGAAAGAGCCATATTGGATTTGAGCAAAGGTCTATATAAAATATTAAGCCATATTTTAATTAAGTAAAATATATTTAAGCCATTTTTAATGTACAAAATCGTTTACCTGTGGGAAACACATGTAGACATGTAAACACAAGTATTTCCTCCCTCCCTCCTTCCCAGTGAAACCAAAGATTTCAATTAGGGTTAGGACTAGACAAGAAATATACTACTTTTAATAATTTAATGTTAATCTGTGCATCAGATAAAGCAATAATAGAGCCTTTCAATGTTATAAAACTATTTATTGGAAATACACAATAAAACAATAGATTTAAAAAACATTTTCAATGAGAAGGATGAACTTGATTAGTTTTGCATAATTCTGAAATCTGGGTTTTATTTTTGAAAGAGTTGGTCTCATTTTTCACTATACATTTATATTGGATCAATATTTGCTCTTTATTGCAGCAACTGTAGAAAATTCTGACTTGTAGCTGGCTTGCCCAGGCAGACCGGGAACAAATTCCGGTAGTGTTCCAGCTTTGTATATCACATGATGCTTGTGCATCCGAAGCTGGAGCCTTGCCAGAACTCCTGTAAGGCTTAGCTTGGACAAGGCAGCTGTTGGCTTATCTGGGGAATGCAGGAACTAATTTTGGTAGTGATTCAGCCCTGAGTGTGAAAGCTATGAGACCTGCACAAGCAGAAGCAGAGCACTTTCAGAACTTTCTAACTGTTGTCCTTTCTAGGCAGAATGGGAACAAGTTCTGACAGTGACACAGACATCAGCTCTATCAGTTTTTTTCCCCTTGGGGAGAAGCAAATCAGAAAAGCCCAAGAGATGCACACACCTTTTGTGTCTCAGATAATCACTCCCAAATAGTGCTTTAATTGCTCTTTTAAGGATATTTGTTGGTTTTGTTCTGTGCCAAGATGCTCTGCAAATTTCAGAGGTGTAAGAGTATCTATAAAAATCTAATGGCGAGACATGGATGTAGTTTCAGTGGAAGAAGGACCACTTAAATGCCTTAAAAAGATATGCCACTGGCCTCCCCCAAAGCCCAAGTGAGCTCACAGCTAACTAAGGGCCTTCCTTGGACTGTTCACTATGGTAAGATGCAGCAGAAAAAAAAAGAAGACATAAATTGGCACTAAAATATGACCTGGATTGCAGCCAACCAGGGTTTCCCTGACAACAGCAAACACTAGCAGACTTCTTCTTAACATATCTGCCTGATTACTGAGACTGAATGTTGCTGAACAGTTGGATTAGAACTGGATATGAGCTACAAAAGTGTGGACAATCACTAGATGGCAAGAAAGAGATACAGAAGCCTAATGTCTTGCTACAATTTACTGACTTTTGTCTGGATTTTTGTTGCCTTAGTACAGCTTTGTGCTTGATTGTGAGTTAGGTGTCTAGTATGTATATGTGAGTGTATATGCATAGCAAAGAGAGCAAACTAGTTTGGTTGATCAAATAAATAGGTGGCCACTGAACAAAAGCATATTTGCAATACATAGACTCACTCCACCCTTCGCTAAGAGACATTATTTTGTGGACACTTATTTCGGGTTTTATATATGTAGGCATGCCAGGGGTGGGGGGGAGGAGCACCATTCTGGAGGCCTTTCATCTGTGACTGAAAGATGTGGCTCAGGACACCAATCATTAAAGTGGCATGGATGTTATTCTTCCCCCCAGTGTTTGATATTCTCAGATAAAAAATAGGCCGAGGGCAGGCACCCATTTTTAGTGCTAAGTCAAGGAAACCAATCACCCAGAGCAAATTACATACCACTGGGCCAGTGTGATACCAACCTACCCTCCCTCTTCTAATTGTCTCACAGCAGGTGTCCCTGTTTTGGGCAACCTCCTTGTACTCTGTTGCCAAGCATATTTGCTGCCTGGAATCATACAGAAATTTTGTTTCTTTGCATCCCTGTACAACTGCAAACACAAGAGGCAACTGGAAATAGCCAGAAGGGACCTGATGCTGTTATGGCTTCTTGCTTGGTGATTCCCAGTTCATAGCACACATCATCTGATAAGCCTTGTGAATTTGGGCTAGAAGACACTTATTCTGGACAGTGTAGGGAGGAGGGGATGGCCCATGAGGCTTGTGCAGGGAAAGCTGAAGCTGGGTCAGAGTTTGCTCCAAGCTTTGGAAAAGTTTCATGTGTGCAAGCCTGAAACATTTATTATCCCCCTAGGGTCACAATCTACAGTTTGAAAATCCCTGAAGTAGGTAATTTTTTCTTTTGACGTTCATAACCATCCAGCTCTGAGCAAGCACTGGATTTGATGACCTGAAGTCCCTTTTAACTCATACATTGTATGGTTGCATAAACTATGAGAAACAAAACAAAACAAAAAGTAAGGAAAAATTAAGGCTAAAGGATGTATGATGTTCATATATGAACTAAGTTAATGTCAACAGCAATCTCTTTTTGGGTCTTTGTAAATCAGTGAAGTATACAGTAATTGCTGGAGTGTTGTACCTATTAGGCCTGTGCAAAGCATTCCGAGTGGGATTTGCTCCTTGAAAACTCAGTACATGGAGGCCTTCACAGTCTTTTCTGGATAGGCTTTGCGCCACCAGCTATTCCAGTGGAAGTGTCTCACAGCAGCCATGCAGAGGTTCAAGTGGCTGTTTTGACAGCTACCTCTTCTGGATATGTAGACTCATGGCAGGAGATCTTGGAGCAACTGTGCCAGCTTTGGGAGTGAACACAGGTACACCGAGCTGCAAAATTAGATGTAAAAGATTATTGCACAGTCATGATATCTATGTTCATTTTTGTCACCTGGAATTAAAACTAAATATGTGCCATTCAGTTTAGGTAAGTATATTTCAGCATTATATGAATCAAAGGACAATATATGTTTATGACATGTGCACTGAACATATTTTCTTGTAAATACTTCAGGATTACAGCTTTGGTCTTTGTTTTGTTAGGCAAAGTTGCATTGGATCTGAACTGGTAGATTGGCTTTTAAAGTGCTGTTCTTTCATTAAGAGCAGATCTACAGCAACTGGTATATGGCAGCTACTACTGAATATGGGAATTGTGTTATCAGGTCAGTTTTACATAGCAAGTCCAACCTGTTGTGGAAGGTGTTCAGTTTTTCTTGTTGTTTTCCTCTTTATCTGAGCATTAGATATATGATGTATGCAAAAGAAAGAAAAAGAGAGGGATATTATTCTGAAGTTAGTTTCCCTTAATCTTGCTCTCATATCTTTTATATCCTGAATAATTACGATGATATATTTGCTAGATATTTATACCCATGAAAATACATGACGGTTTTCAAAATCACTGTGGTAATTTTTAGCATTGTTTCCTTGACATTATTCCCATCAAATTTCTAAAATCTGGGCAGCAATAGGATCTATAATTCATGGTATGGTTATGGTATTTGAAAATAATTTTTTGACTGAATAAGCCTTATTTTTCCTATTTATCTCTTCCTCCTCTTCAGTCATGTTTTTTGAATGATATTTTTGATAGTAAGGCCCTTTGGGGCAGACAATTGTATTCTAAGGTGGCATGCATGTTGACCATGTGCGCACACACACATACACACACACACTAATAAATATACTAAGGATTGCTTTGAGAGTTATCTTCACCTTTTTTCATGTATTAGTATCACATTTATCATCCACGTCCAAGCCATTGCTGAGTCTGGCCTCTCCATTTATCTTCTTTATTTATGACTGAACTTCTTGGTCATCTCTCCTCTAGATCTTTTTACATTGGTTCTTGCTTGTGACATTTACCTTTTATTCAGATAGCTCAGAATGACTTGCTTAATGTAATGTTTCATTGTTGTTACTGTGCTTACTGTACTCCATACGGCTTTGTGTCTTTCTTGAATCAGTTCTGCATGACTTCTCGAAAACACTTAGGATATTCTGTGTTTTCTTCACTAAATGGGAGGTTTTTTGCAACATAGGGCTTGCAGTCAGGTGTAATCAATGCAGGTTCACCCAGCAGCAAATTTGTTGCATGAGATTCTTGTACTGTTCAAGCCATGCTAAAGTATCCCTGCTTTTCAGTAATTGCTTGCTGCAACCATTTTTTTTCACAATGTGTGCTCAAAATATGCATACCTATATATGCCTGCAGATTATTTTTTCCTCTCAGTGAAGAAACTCTCCTACAACACAAAATGAAATGATTTTGTTTGAAAGCATGGATTTGTTTGCTAGAACAGACTGCTGCCTAACAAAGTTATTCCTAACTAGCACTTTGTAATGCACAGAGCCAGTATTCATAGGTAGAGTAGTTTAGGCAGAAGACCAGCATGGACTCATAAAAGAGATTTTCAGAAAATGAAACTTTTGTTAAGAAGGCATAACTCATTGATACTGCTGATCAGGAGTCAAATGGTTAGCTGGGAGTCATGAGCTATGACTCCTGGTAGGAGAAATATGGTTTAACAATGGTTTGGTTAATTTCTGTTTTGTACAGCATGACTTAAAATATTTGAGGAAGAAAATAATGGAGAAAGCAAATTCAGGAGAGAGTTATTACTGATCTATAAAGTTCTGTCTGCAACCCATAGAGTAGAAATGGGAAGCTACTGAAGAGGGAATAGGAATACTGGTGTCCATAGATTGTAGATTAATCATGTGCAGCTAGTGCAAAAAATTTTTCAGTTCAATCCAGTTTCTTCCACATGTATCAGTTCCCATAACGCTGGCTGAGAATTAATGGCGGTTGTAATTCAGTATATCTGGATGCTATATTGGGGAAAGCTGTACTGTGTGTTCTACATACAAGAAACCTTGTGAAGAAATCATGATTGATTGGCATCTGTGTATTGGTCCTTGCCATCTTCTTCAAATTGACTACGTAGACGCACTCATTGTTTTTCTTGCAACAGTATAGAAGTGTTCTTTCCTGTTGTTTTGCTACTGCCATTTTCAATATATTTTTTTTAACTTTTCTGTCTAGTCTACAGCCCTGGAATTCCTGGGGGGTTCCCCCATACAAATATCTCCCTAACTGTATAGTTTTCAAGTCTATGCAAAGTCTGCCAGGTGCTTCCACTTGACGAATTGTAGACTAAAGTTAAATTGCTTGGGTGTGTCTTTGATTTGTGGCAAGCAAGCAAGAACCATTTTTTAAAAGTTCACATAATCATTTTTTTCTTTTCTTTAAACAGTGGATAGGCAGATTTATTTTCAAGACAAGTATGTTTTCTATCAGTTTTCATCTGATGAGTGCACATATCTGTTCTGTGAATATGAAGGAGAAAAAGGATGGAAGAATGGTGTGAAACTTTTACTGAAGCTGGTGCCTGTTACTTCTCCAAGGATTAATATGTGTAACCTGTAAGTGTTTTTCTATTAGTTACTGGCTGACTTGCTTCACATATAACCTAAATGCTTCTTATGGCTTAACTTACTTTTCAAACATAATTTTAATAAACTTTAAAAACTTTGCAATTAATATTTCTTGAAAAACCCAAGTTATTAGTTTGAAATAATATACATAAATACCAATATAATTACTATTGTATAAATGACTGCATAAAAATAAACGTAAACTATTATATTAAAAAGAGCTATTTTTTCCTTATGACTTAGCTTTGTATAAGAATGAAGGTATTACGATACTTAGCATTATATGTGAATATAATATTTGCTTGTAAATATAAATAAACCCTATGGAAAGAAATCTTATGAGAAACTTATTGATGGGAGAAACTGAGATTAAAAAATCAGATGCAGATCTGACAGTGATCTGCTATGTTTCTTGTACCTTATGTCATATACACATTGGAAGTCAGTGGCCTTCTTGATTCCATCTATTCATCATGAGAAACTGGTAACTGAGGTTCATAACGTTCACCCTTCTTTCTTGTCATTAAACTGAAGAGTTTATTTCCTTGTGGTGCCATTCTTAAATTAAGGTTGCTATTCAGTCTTTATATGTGCCATTCAAGTAACGTTAGTAACAGATGCTAAAACATTCTACCCTTTGGCTTTAGCAACAGATTTTCTTCTTAATCTAAGCATATCTGATAAAAATAAAGGCATTTGGTTGTACTGGTGTTAGGAACATTTTAATTATTTATATTATGTCTTAGTCACAATAGTCTATTTCCTTGTTTCCCCGTGCATTCAGACCAATCCTACACCTCAGGTGTACTATGAGCTTTTATTTTCTTTTTGTTTCAAAAGGGATAACAGAAGAATAGAAGAAACAGCTGAAACCAATGCTGAAATTCTTGCTCGCCTCACAGCAGCAGTAAGCCTTTCTTAAAGTTTGTAGGATGATTTTAATTAGTTACATAAACATTGTGTTTATTGTATTTATATCTGGACAGTAAATCCTCAAAGATTTTTTAAGGTGATTAGCAGTGGAAAAGGCCCAGAGCAATACTAATTAATATTACATGTAGAACAGAGGTAGTTATTAGAATCAGATAAACACAGACTTAGGGTAAGGGTGGCTAAAATGTGAAGCAAGGATATTGAAAAGCATGGGCATATTCAAGGATTTTGATAATCACTTCTAATAAGAAAGTTGTTAATGGGCAAGCTATTAATGGGAGAAATTTTGAAATTGTTTCAGACATGTGCTCTTTGGACACCAGTTGCTCTGGATATTTGGGGGACTTGAAGTAGAGGTTTGAATGCCTTGCGGAATTTATTATCCACATGTCTTCCATTAGCAGTAAAAGGGATATTACTGATGTTGGATTGGGGGATTTTTTAAATAATAGAATGTAAGTATATGTGGCTTCTTGAGAGTGGTTAAGGCATTGCTGAGAAAGATCTTCTCGGAGGTCCCACTGAGTTCAAGCCTATTAACTTTTGTCCATAGAGGAACTGGGCAAGTACAACTTGTTGTCTTGACTGATCTGCATCTGCCTATTGGAACTGGAACATCTTTGGCCAATTCTGACTTTAAGGTCACAAGCTCATAAAATATATTCATTTGGCAGCACTTTGTTCAGCATTCTCCAGAAGAGTGTGCAGGGAGGACCAGACATTAAACCATTAATTTAGATTCCTGCCCACAGGAAAGTGAATATTAATGTCAGGGATTAGACCAAGAGATTTTCTGTCTGTGTGGAATATCTGAATATGAGCACTGTTAGACCAGTGTTTCTGCTGGATTATTCCTTTAACATCAACTGAGATAAGGTTTAATAGTTCAGCACTTGTTGTTCCATGCAAACCCAATTTAACAGTTGAAAGGGCATATAAGCAAAACCCTGACAGAAAGAGGAAAACAATATCCTGATACCATGTCTCCTGTAAAAATAGTATTTTTTTTTTCAAATATTGTTCAAAACAGATACTCACCTTTTTTCCCCCTATTCAGTAATTTGCAGCATTAGAAACCATGTGCTCCTGCCTACTGTAGGAGGATGTGTTTAACTTTCATAAATAAAATAGCCTTCCTCACCCTCATGTCTTCCAGCTCTTTTGGATTATAATGCCCCTCATCCCTGATTGTTGATCAGGCATGCTCATGCTGATGAGCATTGTAGCATTTATTTTTAAACATGCCTATAGTGATCTCTTTGATTTTAGACAGCTTTGAAATACAGGGTTTTTTTGCTTAGCATGTAGACTGAATAGTTTATTTTTATTGCTAGATGTTTCATATCTGCCAGTAATGTCTAGTTAACAGAACTGAAGTATTGCAGAATTTGGTTTTTCCCTTAATGCATCAGAGAAACACTTTAAATTATTCATTGTTTTGTAATTTTAATTAAAAAGAGTCCTGGCAACTTTGCCCATTAATGCTTATCTTGCCACCTTTTCATTTTTTAAAAATAAAACTTCAGTGCTATCTGTTTAATTTATAATTTTAGTCCTAAAATGTCTAAGGAGGAAAAGCTGTATATAAATATTTTAAAATAAATGTCATCCTCAGTTGGTTCAGTTTTTCTTCATGAAAGGTGGGGGATAGACTGATACTGCATTCTACAAGTAAAGAATAGATCTATATACTACTAAAACTCTTGTGTCTATAACCTTCAACTGGGCAAAACGGTGCATCGTAGGGCAACAGTTTTTGAACCAAAGTACCTCAAATGGGCTAACTTACAGAATGCGTCCAAATTCTGGGACCCATGACTCCCCTTGGATTGAAATTTGGGAAATTTATGGTTGCTTCAGCACTGCACTGCAGCAGTCAGGCCAGGTCACGTGATTGTCATAGGGATATTTCTGACCTCTTTCCCACCTCCCTCTGTCCTGTGCACGTAGTTGGCTGACAGCAAGGCCTGATGTTCAAGCAGTGATTGGCTGCTTTGGAAACGAGGCAGAAATTTGAAATCTCTTAAGGGCAGTTGGTGGTGAGGGAAGGATGGGGGAGTAACTTGCCTGCTAGCACTCTAGGGCTGGCTGGGGGGTGTCAGTGGTCGATGGGTGAGTCCTGTTCCTCCCTCAAGGGAGGGGGCCCTTGGGGGCACACTAGAATGGGGAGTAGGGGTGCAATATTCCTCATTGGTCTGTGGCTCCTTTTGTTCCACCTCTCCCCCGCAAAGTGGCAGGCAGTTCTGCAGGTCAGTTGAGGTGGAGGAGGAGGCTTCATGGGGGCTCTCCTGAGGATGATGAGGGGAGGGCAAATGGTGCAAGCCTATAGTATGTGGGAAGGCAGGCAGGCAGGCAGGCAGATTTTTGATCCTCCCTGCCAGCTTCCCACAAGCAAAGTCAGTGGGGAAGCCGGCAGCAGGTTGCAAGTCGCTCACTGCTTTTTTTTCCTTGGTCATTCTGTTGAGATAAGGAAATACCTCTGAAATGACCCAATGGGTCACAGGTTGTCTAGTTATTTACTAATTATGTAGAAGAAACCGTTATGCTTGGAACAGGTAGCTACACAATAAGCAATATAACGAGCAGTTATCAGGGATCTGGAGGCCTCTAGGCTAAAAGATATGGAGGACAGCTCATTGCCTATTCTTATTGTGGATAATTATGCTAGAATTAGGCAGGGATTGAAAGATTAAATACTGCAGAACTGATACTGGAGTTCTGGTCCCAAATAATATCAGAGGTTGTTGCATTAGAACAGTGTTTTTCAAACTTAGCAACATCCTGGCTGGGGAATTTTGGGAATTGAAGTCCACAATTTTAAAGTTGCCAAGTTTGAAAAACACTGCACTAGACTAATCAATACATTGAATAAAATTAGGAAACTGCTTTCACATCAGCCTAGGTTAGGGTTATAGGATTATAGTTATAGTTATAGTTGGGCTCAGTGAGGAGGAATGTTAGGGAGGAGGAGATAATACTGTCCTAACCCTTCTGTAAATCAGAAATTGGCAAGGTGGTCCTCCAGGTATTGCTGGGTTTCAAGTCCCATAATCGCTCACACTTGACTATGACGGCAAGTGTGAGTAGATTGGAATTAGAGTTCAACAAAATCTGGAGGGCCACATATTGTTCTTTCATGGTATATTAGGCATATCAACCTCCAGCTGATCTTTACAGTCAGTATAGCAGTGCCCATCTACTAAAGAAAACACAGTTAAACATATAATCTGTAATGTATTGGACGCCCAGAATTGCAGGCTTGTTTCCTACATCATTAAGGCACATTGAGAGACAAGCCATTGGAGATAAACTCTGAGGTGAAGGAGGCAGCAGAAGATCAGCAGAAGCCATTAATGGCCTGTGTGTTTGGAGAGCTGTGCAGTGGTATGGCCTGGGTTTACCTCTCTTGGAAATCTGCCCCCTGGGTTTCAGATTTAGCATCAGCTGAGGTCTCAGGATATGGTAGAGGGGGTAGCTGTTGTCATCCATGTGACTTTGCTGGTATCAAGAAATTGCACTGATAACCAGATGTAAGACCTTATGTGTGAGGTTAAGTCCAAAGGGACAGTTGGGTTTGCTGTTGGTGTACCACTCTCCTGGCTGCACAGTGGCATCCCTGTCAGGACTGCTCAACCTAATTGCTAAGGTGATGGTGCTATTCCCCAGACTGGTGATGGCTGGGGGACTTTAACCGGTCTTCCCTGGGTGACGGGTCTGGAGTGGCCCAGACAACCATGAACCTGATGCAGCTTACATATATGAGAGGTTAATCCTAGATCTGTTTTTTGTCTTGGGGCAGAGACAGTGATTTGAACATGTGGGCATTGAACTTGGCCCCTCGTCATGGACAGTTCGCATGCTGATTGCTGTGGAGGTTCACATACAAACCCCTCTGTATGTGGAAGGATCAGTTAGATCAGTCTGTCCCAGGTGCCTAAAGAATCTAGTTGGTTTTCAGAAGGTTCTTGAGTTTTCTGAGGATCTGGTGGGCAGTTTGGTCGAGACCATGATCATTGATTGGAATGGGAGCAATTAGGTGCCTGAGCAGATTGCAGCCACTCCCTTCTCGTGGATCCATTACAGCTCCTTGGTTTACTGAGAACCTCAGTGAGATGAAGCGCCAGAGGATATGGCTATTTCCATACTCTGGAATTCCATCCCTCCTCTTCTAGGTCACGCCTTCTCTTTTAGGTTTCAGAAGAGCAGTTAAGACATGATTATTCTATCCAATGCAGAACTGTATGGTGTGATTGAAGACCTGAACTGGCAGACCTGTGTTTTTGTACACTTCTTTTGGTATACTTTTGATACTGTATTTAGTTTATTATATGGGTGAGTTTATTTATTGGTTTTGAAGGGTAGTTTGCTTGGTGATGTTTTTGATCGTTAGACATCCAGAGCATTCAGGAATGCGTGGCATAAAAATAAAGAAAATAAAGTAAATAAATGCATTTATTTGTTTAGACTTCTACATGGAATTGATAGCCTGAACTTACCAAAAGCACTGAAGTCATTTGCTAAGTTAAGTCCTGTTAACCAACAATAATCTCCATGTAAAATATTAATTGAATTGTAACCACATAAAGTAAAATAAAGCTTTTAATGCATAACTAATATGCCTTTGTGAGTGATGTAGCTCTGCACCTTGGTCTTTTCACTTCTTGCTTCCCTCAATTCAGGGCCTACTTTTGATTAAGTACATTTGAAAGTCTTTTTTTCTGAGTACTTATTTCTTGATGAGTCAGACTGAAACTTGTAAATAAAGGAAATGCATGTTCCCTCCAAAACAATAGAAGGGCGAGGGACTGTTGAATGAGAACAGCTGTGTTGAATGATGCCAAGTTAGTTGAAGTGCAGGAAATAACTCCAAAGGGTGCACTTTTGGTCAGTCAGAGACAGTTTATTTCAGTCAATTAAAATAATATGTAAGAGCTGTACATAAAACAGTGAATGATGGGATGGAAGTTCCTAGGACGGGCAGGAAACTGTTAAAAGGGCTAGACATTAAAAAAATACAATTCAGTTTCTTAATTTAGGCTTTCAAATTCCTTTATAACTTGGGCCAGTTTGAGTTGCTTATTTGTGAGATTTATCTTGGAGACTCTTTTCTATTTACCCTGGCCTAATCAAGTTTGATGAGTGACTACTGGGGAGAGGTTTGATGAAATGAGGGAACTCTGTGTGCCAAATGTGTTGAAAATTGTATATTGCTTCTCATATCTTATCCCAGTTTTTAGATTTATAGATTGGTCATAACTCTGCTGAAGTTAAAATACTTTTTTCATGAAGTTAATACCACTTAGCTAATGCTGCAGTTCAGCTCTACAGCATTTAGTGGATCATACATCCCAGGAAGTATAATTAAGGCTTACAGCTGAACTCCATTCTGGTCTTGAATACAGGATGATGGAAACAGGAAATTCAGTCTGTCTGTATTACTGCTCTTTGTACAGGCAGCAGATAAACTGTAATCAGTGGGAGTTCCACTGATATTTAACCATGAAACAGCATAAATAGTAGAATCAATTTATGTACTGTATATATGTAAAAACATTCTATCAGCATATTTGTAACACATTATCTTCTTGGTGTGCTAGGTGCAGAGGGAACTGGCAGCTGTTCTTGCCATGAAAGCAAGAAAATCAGGTGAATATACCAAGCTTTTGAGTCTACATTTTTGAATAAATTCACAGAAGGAAAAACAGAATAGATTGTTTGAATGTAACAAGAAATATTTGCTGGATATTTTGGCATTTGAGAGAGAGAGAGAGAGAGAGAGATGAAATATATCAGGTTTTTTTCCTTTCCTGTTCACCTGATTAATATTTACTTGATGTATTATGACAATAATTGATTTGTTCCATTTGCTTGCATTTTTATATTTTATAAATTAATACATTAATTTGAAATACATAGGTTTCAATTTTGAAGGTGATGTTTATTTTCACTGTTAAAGTAGCTTATTTGTGATCAAAGGTATGTTTTTCAAAACTGCCAATACTTAGGTGACTTTGTGTGGAAGTTGCACAAAGTAGGGCTGTGGGATATTTGCTATTGGGAGGAACCTTGCATATCCATGTCTCTTCTAATCTTATGTAATATCCTGGAAATATACCATATTTTCAAGGGAAAAGCTTTGTTAAAATTCTGGATTATAATTTAAAATTTTGAAATGGATACACAGAAGCAACACCCAGTTCACAACAGGTGAAAGCTGAAAAGAAGGAGCAGCTTATTCTACCCCCGCTTCCATGAGTTACTTCAGTCCCAATTTATCAGTTAAATTCAGAAGCAAGTTTGTGTATCACCTTGAAGGTACAAGGGAAAATGCCCTCCCAACAGCTGTAAAGTAGTTTCCAAGCTGGTGCTGTGAGATATTCTGCAATGGTAATTTCCAAAATCCCGTTCAGTTTAGCTGTCTGGTTTGAGTTATATCCTAACACACCTGGAAGATGGCAGGATAGGGAGAGCTGCAATAAGAATTGTAGCTTTGTTTTAGAGAATTTATTAAGAAAGGGTTAGGCAAAAAAACACAAGAGGGCAAAGAAGTTTTTCAAACTAAGCAAATGCTATTGCAGTTGAAACTGCAATTTGTTAAAATATTTGTTTATAATGTTCTTGATACAAAAAATAATTATAATAGCTAATTATATCATTAAATATAAAAAAAATGATAGGAGAAATAATTTCAGCACTACAATTGTGAGCAAACATGGAATTAGACTTTTAGGAAATACGGGGCACATTTCTGAGAAAACATTTATATCATCATAATCATTGCAGATAAATGTCATAAATAGTGTTTCTTCCATGTTTAAATGAACTTGTGACTAATTTTAGCTTATCCGTATTAATTGGAATACATTCTTTGTAAGTATGCAAAACATTATTATTAGTTATTCTTCAGGCATGGCTTATTTCTCTTGTGGTCAATTAGTCTGAGTAGAGAAAATGATCATAATGAACTTCCTTTATAATATAGTGTCAAACAGGCCACATCACAATTTTTAAATTTTAATTGCAAAGGTATTTTTTGTTGGCTTGTTATTTTATTTTGGAAATGATGAGATTTTACTTTCCTTAATATCCCTAAAGCTATCATTTACTATATTCCTAAATGCTAGAAAATTATAATAAATGTACTTTTATATTTTGTAGATAAATAGATCTGGTTGGTAACATCTGAAAAATAGAGCCTTTGGAACTGACTCTTTATAAAAACTGAACTAGCATAATTTGTTGTCTTTGCAAATTCAGTATTTGTTTTTACACCTCGGGTTAAAAAAAGTTAATGACTATATGCACAGCAGAGGTAGGAAATTCCATTGCATTTCATATTCTTGTTAATTTAAAACTAAAATATACTCAGTCAACTATACTCGTAATGTAAAAGTGACATAGGCTATTGTTGCCTTATTGATCCCAGCAGAATAAAAAATGTAAAAAAATAAAAATAGTCCTGCTTGGTGAAGAGGAGGAAGAGCTACATATACATATGTGTATTATGTGTTGTTTTGATTGCATCTGTGTTTGTTACAGCAGATATTGTCAGAAGTACAGTAAGCTGTTTTGAAACTGAAAACCTGAAAGCAATGTTCTTCACAGCAAAAATTACTGAAGCAAAAATCTGAATTTGGAGAGGTGGTTCCTGTGTTTCTTGGTTCTTTGGATATAGATCAATAGACCAGAATTGTGCTTTTAAATGTCTACATTCCAGTGATACCTATTTAGCATCCTTTTAATTTTTTTATATATGTTACTAAATACAAGACTAATAACATTTTCTTTTTTGTTTCTTAACAATTGTGTTTTTCTTCCTTCTGGATGAAGATTTTTATTCATCTGATTTCAGTTGCTATCTGTGAGACTTTCATGTGACTTGCATACTAGCAAGTTGATAGAGGGAAATTATTTTTGTGCGTGTGTGTTAATTTTAAAAATATGAATAGTTGGGATGAAGGAAGACCACCGCACTCAAATGAGTGGTGCTAATTCAGTAATCTTGCTTTCCTTTCTGTTTAACTATCTACTCCTCCTCTATTTAATCATCTACCATTTTCAAAGCAAAACCGTGGATCTCATAATCTCAAAGCCATTGTTATGAGTTTCTTATGTGGTTTTCTGTTCGGATTGTTAATGTTTTGGAAGCTGTATTATAAATATAATATTGCCAGCAATATAATTTCTGTTTGATGCTTTCAAATAGGGTTGTAGATCTAATGCATAACATAAACATTTGACATGGCTGGTGGGAAATGAGGTACTTTCCCATATTTTTATGCAAAAGTCCCTGCAATCTGAGCTATAGAGTAATTTCCTCTCTCAAATATTGTGGTAAGGAAAGAGTTCAGTTTATACAACCTGGTGTTCTCTGGATATTTAGGCTCCATGCTAGCTTTGAGTTTTGTAATCCAACACATCCAGGGTATGCAACATTGGGGAAGGCTGTATTATTCTCTTAAAATGAGTTCCTATTCTGTGTGAGTCAGTGGAGGAGGGGAAGTTTTCTCCAATTAGCATTTCCAACAATTGAATTGTCTTGCATTTTATGTATCAGCTTAACAAAGTAGTCAGTGCTGATATTAACAGTTCACCCTGTAAAAGCTAAAGAGAGGAAGTTGACACCTTCCTTGGCTATATTGTTCCATTCTGTTTTGCTGCAGAATATATTATACGTTGGTCATTAGTCTGTGTTGAAAAATTTATCTCTGAAATCTGTGGTTTAAAAATCCATTTCTGCACAGTATAGCACAACAGTGTTTCCCAACCTGGTCCCCTCCAAATATTATTATCCAATTATCTAGCTAGCAATGTTAGGGAAGGCTGCTGTAAGAGAACTGAAGGCTACGGATTAAATTTTAAATTGTATTTTGAGATAAATATAGCAAAAGCATTTTTTTTAAATGAAGCTGCTGCTTAGCTTTATAATAAGTTACAGTCCAGAACCTGGTGCATAACTGGCAGTCATATAAGAAACTTGTAATTTAGATACAGTAAATACTCAGTACAGATACTTAGAAAACATACTACTTAGTACATAGTAATATATACTGATATTAGGGCATTCCGGTTTCTTTTCCATGTTACCAATTGAGTGAATTTTATTAACTATGCTGAGATAGATACACACACATGCAGAAACATATACTGTTCTTGGGTGAAAGTACCCAGTACACTAAAATGTTTCTTTTATAATAACCATCTTTGATGTATTATGAAAAGTACACATTTTTCATACAGTCAGCTCCAGGTTACTCTTTCTAATAACAATTCCTCTATGCTTTCATAACTGGGTAGCTATAGTATCCATAATTTCTATTCAGGGTCTTATAAAAGCAGTTTTTCATGATTTTATGTGTAGGTTCTAGATTTTTGTTTAAATATTAGGATTAAATATTTAAACAAAAATCTAGAACCTGCACATAAAATCATGAAAAATTGCTTTTATAATTCAGTTTTCCTCAACATACTACAGCCAATTCTGGTAAAAGACAAGGCATACTCTTGGGGTTTCCTCTCCAAATCCATTGTAAACCATCTTGTGGAGCTAGAGTTAGTTCCATATTCCATAGATTTCAGATTGGGATAGGATTTTCTCTGGCAAACTAATAAACTAATAAAAGTAGAAGTCAATAATGGAATTACTATGGAGTAATCTTAATTTTAACTGAAAGAAGTAATACGTGATTATCGTGTATCTTAAGTGAATCTTCCATTAAGGTCAGAGAAGGCTATTTTTACTGCAGAAATTAAATAAACCTTACTTAGCAAGAGCAGTAATCCATTTTGTCAGTAAATATACCCAGTCTCGCTCTGAGCAAGCCTTTACTCTATTATTGGTTTTATTTTGAAAATCTTGAAGGAAAATGCTTCCTGCTGTCCACAAGGGAATAATGAAATAGAAACAAGGCATAGCATCCTGATCTTTAAGTGGCTATTTAAAAAATCAACATCCTAAATTCCTTAGGCTTGTGGGGACATGAGTGCATTTGAAATTGCACTTCAGCAAGCTGATGTTATTTAACATTCTACCCTTTATTCATGGAGCTGAACCTTATTGCATGGATAAAACAAGAAATGCCCTAAGTATAAATGAGGTGTGGCTATAATAAAACCGACTGCATTTTTGTACTTTGGTTGCACTACATGTGCATTATTGAACTGATATATGGCTCTAAACACAGTTTTTGGGTTCCAATTATAAAAATATCTTTTGCTTTCAATGAGGGGATGAATAGATGAGCATTCTTTCTCTTGCCATAATAGGAATTTTTATTGGAGGCCTTACTACAACCCAAAGATTCTCAAGATTTTGAGACTGCTACAGGCAAAAGTTTCTAGAGAATTCAAATCTTAAATTTCTGTGCAAGTCAAGATTTTAGAACAATTTGCAGGGTATTTTATAGAGTACTGAAGAGAAGGTTTGGCTGCTCAGAGGCTTTCCGCACTAATGCCTACCTGCATCAATCAAACCTGGGCCAAAATTAGTCAGAAATGGTAAATCTGAGTTAGTTGGAGTGTGGTTTAAAGGTGGGAGTAGAAGCCATTCCCATTCTCAATTTTGTAGAAAAAGAATGAGAAAATCAAATTGCCAGAATTCAGTTACTCTCTGAGATCTTGGGATAGAAGGGGGACACGCCTGGAATATAAGTACTCCTCACTTACAGGCCGCTCATTCAGTGACAGGTCGAAGTTATGATGGTGCTGAAAAAGAATATTTATGACCACTCCTTGAAGTTGCAGCCATCTCAGTGTTTCTGTGATCTCGTGATTGCAATTTGGGCACTTGGCAACTGATGTGCATTTATGATGGCCACAATGTTCCATGGTCACGTGATTGCCATTTGCGACCTTCACAGCCGGCTTCTGACAAGCAAAGTCAATGCAGAAGCTGGCAGGAAGTCGCAAGTTGCAGTCACGTGATGTTGCACTTAATGACTGCAGGTGATTCACTTAACGATCGCAGCCCGAACTGGTGTCTTAAGTTGGGCACAGTCATGTGACATTTCACTCTATGACCATGTTGCTTGGCAGTGGAGTTGCCAGTGCCAGTTGCAGTTGGTAAGTGAGGATTTCCTGTACTTGGGACCTCATTTGACCTAGAGAGATAGATTTAAAAGACATAAAGTTAAATACTGGAAAGTGGAAAATTGTTGCCTCATTTTAATATTTTGGGGGGGAAAACTGTTACTTGCATAGTATATTATCTCCTGATTTGCATAATACACAAGAAATAATTGGGATATTCCCGAATTCTTAAACATAGTATATAATGGAGCCTACATTTTCTGTCTTATTAAGATAATAACACTCTTGACTGCATTGTATCCATCCTAATTCTTCCCAGCTTCATAGTGAATTGACTGTTTTGTTTTCCCTCCAAATTGCTGCCAAACTGCAGCGGAACTTCCCAAACACCTCAATCTACAACAGGATAGTTGCTTTCTCCATGTGGTTATTCTCCATATTATCTTTAAAACATCAAATACAGCCTTTCTGTACCAGAGTGGAATGTTCCCAGAATTATTCTTGAGCTTAGAATCCTTTGTGCCATCTAAAAAATCCACACCAATATTAACTACAGTGAAATAATCAGTGTATAGAAAGTATTTTTAGGAGAGGTCCAGATGGTAAATGATACAATATATGTCTGAAAAAAATACAGGTAGTCCTCACTTTACCAACCACAATTGGGACTGGCAACTCCAGCGCTAAGCTATGTGGTTGTAAAGTAAAATGTCATGTGACTGTGCCAGATTTACGATGTCAGTTCGTTAGTTCCAGCTGCGGTCATTAAGTGAATCACCGTGGGTCATTAAGTGCGACTTGTGATTTCCTGCTGGCTTCCTCATTGACTTTGCTTGTTGGAAGCTGGCTGTGAAGCTCACAAATGGTCACATGACTATGGGATGTTGCGACCTTTGTAAATTCATGCTGGTTGCCAAGCACCTAAATTGTGATCGCATGACTACAGGGACACTGTGATGGCTGCAACTTTGAGGACCAATCGTTAGGTCTCCTTTTTCAGCACTATCAAAACTTCAAACTATTGCTGCATGAGTGGTTGTTAAAGAAGGACTACCTGTATATTCAGTCATTCCCCATGCATGTATACGTACTGCTCATGTATCCTTGTATGTGCATAAAAAAGCTGGACCTATTTAGAATTGAAGCTGTATGACTCCCTGTATTTCATTTGCGTAAGATCCTACATATTCAGAATCTTAGAATAGTAATTCTTAGAGCTAACTGGATTTGATGGGCTGCACTTTGTACCACTTTTCAATGAAAATATAATAAGATATTTTTAATTTCTTCAGTTTTCTAGCAAAATAATGGAATGAGTTAAAACATCATACTATACCATACCGTTTCATTTGATTTAATATATTGTGTGAACCCAGTTACTGTAGTTTATGAAGAGTGTTTATAGCTTAATTTAATGTGTGAACCATGTCACTGTATTAGTGTTCTGCTATGGTTAGCACTTTTTACTGCTAACTAACTACATAAAGATAATACTTGTCTTTATGTAGTCAGTAATCTCTGTAATGGTTAGAGTGTTAGATTAGGATCCAGGAAATTCATCTTTTACTGTAAGAGATTGCTCAGTTGTGAAGCTCATTGGATAGTGTTTGCCCAGGCATTTTTTTGATTTATTTAATAAATATATATTCTCCCCTCCCCCCCGCCTCTGATCTCATATACATGACTCTGGTTGGCTAACAATTAAAAACAAAAACAGGATAAAATAACCAAAATTTAAAAACAACATCAATAGCACAGAATAACTGCCAAGAACATTCACAATGTCCTGCATTCAAATCAGTCATGAGACAGGCTCACCCATACTGCCAGGGCCCTAGACTAGATGGCACAGCCCAGTTTCTAATGCCTTGCAAAAGGTCAGCAAGGTAAAGGGAAGGTCTGGTCTCGGGGGGGATGATATTCCAAAGGGCGGGCACTAAGGCAGAAAAGATTCTCTTCTTGGGTCCCTCCAGATGGAACTGTCTAGAAGATGGGACCCGGAGCATACCTTTAATGTGGCTGTAAAGGAGTTCCTGTGAAGATAAAAAGATTTAAAATAAGGCTGGCCGATAGTTTGGGGAGGTTTCACTGACGACTGAACGTAACAGTTTGTCCCAGATTTTTTCTGGCTGTTAGTACTGCCAGCTACATTCTGGTAGTGATTCTTCACTGTTTTAATTTTGTTTTTTTCTATTATTTTTTTTTACTGATGGATGTTTTTGTTTTATTACTTTACTGTAAGCCTTTTCATGATTTTCTATGAAAATACCTTTTTAGTGTGTGTGTGTATGGGTGTGTATACATACACACATATATACATACATACATACACCACACATACATCCTGCTGATCTCTGTGGAAGAAAAGTAGAATAGAAATATAATAAACATACAGTAAAGATCTCTTGTACTCTCTCTTACTTGTATGAAAGGAATAACATCAGGAGGTTACCACTGCACTACTAAAATATGACTATACTTGCTAAAACTGTAATCAAAATGTTTCTTGAAGATGATGTATCATATTAAATGTGGTAGTAAGTTGCTTTTAAAATGGCTGGAATCTGTATATTGTGGGGTAGAATGTTAGCTTTCATAGTTCCTGTTAGAAGCTCTTCTTATATTATATCTTTTATTTCTTCTGCTTTAGCGATGAATCAAAGTTATGACAACTGCAGTGGAGAAGCAACAGTGCAAGAAGATCAGAAGGATACCTGTGATGTACAGGTAGAAAATGATTACTCACACATGTCAGCGTTTGGGGGCCTTCTTTTTACATATGTCACTTGCTAATATTTGGATACTACACCTCAGTGCTGCTAGGCACAACATACAAAACTATATGATTTTGTTTGGGGCTTTCTGCTATTTAAAGATCTAACCTCCTGGAAATCAGGTGTGTAACTGGAGTTTTACCTTTATCCTTTTTCATATTATTATATGTATCACATCATTTTTAGTCAGACCAATTCATATTCTAGTTACATTCTAATTTCTTAGATTAAAATGGATATGACTGAATTAATACATTATTTTTGGGCAGTATAATTTGTAGGTATAGCAGGAAAAGCAAAGCTTAAAGCTCCTTATACTCCATGTACTAGGGCCATAATACATGTAAGTTCCTCTGTGCTTGCTTTAGAATTAGAGAGAGGAAAAAATCAGTTATTGAATATATCTGAAAAAGAATGTAAAATTTGGCCCTAAGTGGAAACCTTTGCCCAGGGAACAAGAAAAAAATAACTTTGCTATAGACTGATGCCGGATAGGAGATGAAAACACACGTCCGTATCAAGTGGACAGTGCATTTCTGTTGTAAGATGGTAGCTACTTGGCCATTTATGTGAGAAATTGTATCACTGCTCTTCTTCTGGAATTTGTCCTGCCTATGTGAGGCAAATTATTATATAGCCATAAAAAAAATTCTGAAGAAAAAAAATGGTGTAACATTTTGTCAGTTGTCAGCTCCAGCAGTGGTTCTTTTTTATTCCTTCTCCAAACCTTATTGCATTTATTTTTCCTGATGTAGCAGGCTGACTCTGCCACTAATTAAGATGTGTCTTTGAATTAAAGGACTTGGCAACCTAGCCCTTGAGGATATGGATGAATTCCTCTGTTGACTGTTTAAAATTCAATAAGGGGGAGTCAAATTTACCTCCTTCATTATTTAATGTATGATAGCTGCCTTCAACTTGATGTTGAACTGAGATGAACAGATGTGCTGGATTAGGCCACATTAACTAACTATTATGGGAGTTGGCTCATGTCATTTGGAAAAGGCTGATATGTGGAACAGTAACTTCAGTAACATTTTATAAGCTCAAACCTGACACAACATGATGGGTCTGTGCTGAATGTTTCTCTGTTTTGTCTAAGTACCATCAGTGAAGTTCACACCACTGGTAGAGGGCAGGTTAACTCTTTGCTCATACTATTTAATGATGCAGTATGTTTTAATATATTTTTTATTTGTTGGTTTTAATAGTGTACACCACCCTGAGTTGCAGGTCAACTAGGCAGCCATATGAAATGAATGAATGAATGAATAAATGTTTCTAATTTTAATCCCTCTTCTCTGTTTGCTCCATATGGGAAAATAGACAGGATCTTTTGCACCAAGTTTAACTGCCCAAACGTTACCCACAGTCCTTATTTCTGGAGACTTTCGGTTGTGTTGGTCCAGGAACACAATTTATCCAGGAATATTGGGAAACTATAAATAATGACAGAGAGAATGCTATTTCATTTAGATATAAAATGAATACATTACATTTACAGTATTTACTGTACATCAGTGGAAGGATTTATCATTTGGTTGTCCATAAATTCTCCCGTCAGGCTGGCTCTGCTTGCTGTCCATATTTAGTTTATATAAATGGTCACTTCAAGGTTTTGTTGTTCAAGATTTAAAAATAAAGGAATTCATTAAGTATTCATCTGCTCTAATAAGCAGCATGGTAATAAGATTATGCGGGTGAATTACAGAAAACCAAAGTAATTCAATTTCAGTGAATCCAGTCATTTAATTTGTCTAGAAACTCCTTTGAAAATTTCACAAATTTGGTAAAGTGCATATTAGCTAACATCCCATTTTTTATGTTATAGCAATCATTGGGGGTGTTGAACTGGAATGAAACAGAGAAGCCCAGTACAAGATCGTGTATTAATTCACAGATTTGACCATTTGGTAGCACTAATGAATGTATTCTTCCTGTAAAAGAAATTGTTGGTGAATATTAAACACTGTTTACAAAGTAATAATTTGCCAACTGTGTACCGTGGGACAAAAAAGTATTTAGTCAGCCACCAATTGTGCAAGTTCTCCCACTTAAAAAGATG